TTCTTAGGATAATAGATTAATTCTAGTATTTTTAGAGGTCTTTATCTATAAACTTTTAGAATACTAAATAAAGGGTATCTTATAAGATAATATATTACTATTACTATATATATATATAGAGATAGGTCTAACTATAAGTATTTAGGATTATAGAGATCTCTATCTTATTAGAAAAGAACTAATAAAGTTTTTCCTTTACTAATCTTATTTAATTACCTTCTTATTAGCAGAATAATCTATCTTTATAATAAATCTTTACTAATTTAGTTAAACTAACTTTAAATCCTTTCTTTTTAAGGTAGATTAATATTACTTTATTATTTAAGATCTTATTATAGAAAAGTATATAGATTTAGGCTTAAAGGGTATTAATTAGTACTATTTAGATTAAATATTATAAATTCTATCTTTTAAGATTTTAATAAAATATTATATAGCTTATTTAAATTAAATACTTTATATTTAATTCTATATAAATAGAATTAATAGTATTTTTACTCTTCTATAGCTAAATAATCTTAGAATAGAATAGATTAAGCTGAATTTATAGCTATACTATATTAAAATTTAAAAGGATAATTTATTAAGATTATAAATTAAAAAATTAAGAGAGAGAAAAAAAGAATATATAAAATAATAGATATAATTATATAGTATTATATAAGAATAAATAAAAAATTATATATAATTAGATTTTATTACTTCTAATTCTACTTAATTCTTCCTATACTTAGAGTATTAAATCTTATTATTTATAATTAATTATAATTATATCTTATTATATCTAAACTAGATCTAATTAAAGTAAATTAGGCCTATAAGGGGCTAATTAGATCTAATTACTACTAAACTAAACCTCTAAACTAAGATTAAATATAAACTATATTATTTAAGTATAATTAGTACTAATTATACTACTTTAAGAGGTATTTAAAGATTATAGCTAAGGTTTAGTATAATTCCTTAGAAATACTATATAGTAGGGTTATAAGCTTATTATTAGATAAGTTTATATCTAATTCCTTAAAATTAATCTCTTCTATAGCCTATTACTTATATAGAGTAATAGATAGCTTACTAGGTTTAGAAGAAGTATTATTTATAGATAATTACTTCTAAGTAGGAGCTAATTATATTAGTATAAGTATAATTAAGATTAATTAAGTTAAATTAAATACTTATAAATATAATTAGGATAGAGTAAGTAATTTTTAGTACTATTTATATAGTAATAATTACTATATCCCTTATTCAGATCTAATAAAACTATATAAGTTATTATTAAACTATTTCCCTTTTTATAATCTATATAGTAATTATTATCCTCCTTTACTTAGCTGAAAATATATTTAATAAGACTATCTATAGTCTAACTATACTTAAACTTACTTTTTTTAATCTTTTTATCTTACTTTATATATTTAACTTAGTACTTAATAATATATTAAGGCTAGATTAGATATAATTAGATATAATTATATATAAATAATAAAAATTAAGTAAGATTATCTTATAGTTAGTTAGATTAAGGATAATTTACTATAATTTAGCTAATATATACTATATTATATTAACCTAGGTATCCTTTATATCCTTATTAACCTTTTTACCTCTAATCTTATTAGGTAGGATATAATTATCTAAAGGGGTAGGCTTAGTTAACTCTTAAGAGTTATTTAATTTATACTATTTACCTCCTATTATAAATAATTATATTTAATTAGAGATATTTATATATAATTAAACTTAATTTAGTTTAATTAGAGGGCTTTAAGAGTAAAAGTATTTAATTATATCTAATTAGATATAATTAGTATTAATTAATAATATATAAGTCTATAATAGTATATATATATCTATAAAGTAAAGAAGGGTTTTTTTCTATAGTAATTTAAATATAAGTATAGCTAAAAATATATATTATACTATATTCTAATATATTCTAATATATTCTAAACTACTATTATACTATTTCTATCTGTAAGGAAATAAAAAGTATATACTAAGTAAAATCAGATATAATAAATATAATATAATTAAAATCAGATATATATAAAGCTATTTAGAGGGGGATAGAACTATTTAAACTTATTTTTAAATTATAATAAAAAGGAAAGAAAAGAGGGAATTAGCTAATTATTATAGAGAAAATATATATAAAAAATTCTCTTATTAGGGGTTATAGCCCTAATAAGATCTAATACTAACCTATTTAGATAGCCAGGTCTTATATAATTAATTATACCTAAGGTATAATTATATCCGATTGGATCCTACTTTGGGTTTTGATAAAGCGAGCCCTACAGACTGCCGTACTCGCCCACGAGATTTCCATATCAAGGCGCATGAAGCATGAAGTCCCATTATCTCCATATTACCAGGCACCCAGACTCAGACTCTTTGAGGGGGAGAGGGGTAAGCCACGAGCGGCACCGTGGACCCCTTGAATCGGAGCGGGGCAGGTCAACACGGACTCCAGGCGCTTCACCTCTGCGACAGAACTCAAACAACGCTACCATTATTCATGTAGCGCAGCTGTTTTCATCCTAGCGTTAGATTGTCACTGCCCTTGATATGAATCACTTCAATAAGAGGTGTGCGAACAGGTTATACAGCACCATAACTTGAGGTTGGCGGCGAAGTTGAAGCGACTAGGTAACTTGAGTCGTTGGTGCTCCAAAATGATCGCAACATCAAGGACAAATAACATGAGAGGCCCTATCGATGATCGATCAGTTAATCTGGTACGCCTGTGTGAAACTGTTTACAACAACCACGCAACTGAACAGTTTGTCGAGTTCGGTCGAGATGGGTGACTTCCCTGTCCCGGGTAGCTTGACCAATCTCCCCAACCAGCCATCCTCATCAGTGTGGTTCAATGTGGAAAATGTCGTTTCTCTCTAATTTTTCTTCTCGTAAGAGCTGTCTCATGAAAAGCGGCATGTCGCTAAAGAGATTCTCACACGCGGTCGAGTCTATGTGTGCAATCAATAAGAAGCAAGCCAATAGAGGAAGAGAAATACTTAAAGTAGGTAATATTCAGAGGGATGAGGGAGTGATCACCATAAGAGAGAATGAAATATACAGCTTGACTTAGTCGATGGTTGACATAAGCTGAAGCTGTCTGCCGACGCGTTCCTACTAGACTTGGCTATAAAAGGTCTTAGACGAAAAATACGACGGATTTGCAAGCAAATAGGTGCTTTAGAATATGCATATGCTGGGACTTGGAATGATGTGACGTATGAAAGGAGCCAGACGTTGAAATCAGCCTCCCTGATGCCAACAACAACCCCTTGCAGCATTGTTTTATTGTCAAGGCATGCTGTGTGCAGTATTTAGCATCGAGGCTGCCAGTATCAGATTTTTTTTTCTCTCTAAACTTACCGTGGGCAAAATGTGAATTTGAAGACATTGTCGCTTGGCAGAAACGCAAATAAAATCCCCAAAGAAAAGAAGAAGAAAATGGTAGTGGTAAGTCAAAACTCTTTCAATCCTACATCATTGCATGGCTACCACAATACCGCTCTGTCCTGCTCCTCTGTCTTTATGTTTGTATTTAATTTGGAACTTTTGGTTGCTATGCGATGGCATTCGCGTTGATTTATGAATGGCTGCAAGAGCTCTTGAGCAAGATCACAAGACATGTTGCTTGGTCGAGGCCCCCTCAGTCCCAGTCACTCCTTTTGGAGCTGCCAGCCGACGTGGTCGCTCCAGTCGTCAGCTTCCTCTCCCTATCAGATGAAGTATCTGTAGCACTCGTGTGCAAGCCACTACGCTTCATGTGCAAGGGAAATCTGCATAAGCTCACTAAACATGTATGCAAGATGGACAGGGAGGATTTTCTCCTCCGCATGGAACGAGATCTCATGGCGACGCACATCTACTACGCCGTTTACATGAGATTACACAGGTTTTCTTCTATCAACAAACCAAACGAGCCTCCCCCCTACAGTAGAGCTCTGATCTGTCTGGTGATCGACTATAAAAACACCAACATTTTCGGAAAACCACTTTCCATATCATCATGGACGAGCAGCTATGAATCGCCATTTCTACGGGACCCCGGCCGGCCTCGACCCTGAATCTTTGTGTTATAGAACAGTATTCATAGTTAGACATCTGATGTTAGGATACTACGTATAGTTTGGTCGATATTCCGTGAAGATCATATCAGACAACCTTTTCCTCTTCGGCGAGAATGTGATGTATTCGAGTGACGAGCAGAGCATGACAAGGAAACTCAACGCTGGATCCTGCGACATTTGCCCACACACGACGACTTCAACGATGCAGTTAGAGTCCTGGACCTGTGGTATCTTACCGGGTGAAAATAAAGATGTGGTCCGACTTTGGCCAGTTTCGGAGCCGCAGGACTGCAAATGGAGGGCTTGGAGGCGCAAGGCTGGGAAATTCTACTCGGTCGCACCCCGAAATCTAAAGAAGTACCCTCCTGGATGTATGTTTCAGCGATGCCATGCAGTTGAGGGACAGGAGAAGAGCGACAAGTTTCCGCCTAGAACTTGCCCTCGTCTTGTGTTGCCGCATGTTTAACCGTTCATAAAGCACGCGCTGACTTTTAACTGCAAATGTTCCCTTGGGTCAGTGTTGTACTCGCCACAAGGAGGATCAACTAAAAACGCTATTAGCTATCAAGCAGTAATAAATTTCTCTTGTTAACTGATGTTAGACTTATGTGTGAAGTGAGACGAGTGAAGAGATGAATAAGTGAAGGCAGGTGTGAGGAAACAATTCATATGCAACCTTGACTCAGTTGAGCTAAAAAAAGATCATCAAATGCTTGCCCCGGAATCTCAGGCTATGATCGGCTCTTGTTAGACAGAACACAAACTGCCATCGTTCTTCTACCCACCACGCACCCAGCAGGAGTTGCGCAGAAGCGGGAGAAAACCCATACAAACTCCTCAACAAGGCGGTCAGCCCAAGTCACCTTCGTCCCAACTAATCCCACCAACTCCCCCCCCCCTCTCCGGCACACCATGTCCCCCATCCCAAAGCAAGCCGGCGACGGCAGCGGCTTCGCGGTCCCCAAGATCCGCCTCGAGATCCGCAACCTCTCAGACGCCGGGGCCTCCTCCTTCCTCCGCGCCGTCCACGCCACCGACCTCCTCAACTCCGCCACCCGCAACGTCCTCCGCTGGCTCTACGCGTCCCCCTCCTCCCCCACCACCACCGTGCCCCCCACGCGCTCCGTCACCCTCATCCTCAGGGACATGGACGGCGTCGCCTACACCACGGGCTCCGACCTCGACAACGACCATAAAGAGGTCCACTTCTCCACCAGGTACATCGCCGCCATCGGCGCTGACCGGGTCGCCGACGAGATCACGGGCGTGGTCACCCACGAGCTCGTCCACTGCTTCCAGTACAACGCCTTCGGGACCTGCCCGGGCGGGCTGATCGAGGGCATCGCCGACTGGGTGCGCCTGAACTGCGGGTTGAGCCCGCCGCACTGGAAGCGCGAGGCTGGTGGGAAGTGGGACGGCGGGTACCAGCACACGGCCTATTTTCTCGAGTACCTCGAGAGCCGGTTCGGCGAGGGCACCGTCCGCCGCCTGAACGAGAAGCTGAGGATCCAGAAGTACGACGAGGAGACCTTTTGGGTTGAGCTGCTGGGCCATCACGTCACCAAGTTGTGGGAGGAGTACGGCGAGAAGCTCAAGGACGAGAAGACGGTCGTCGTGGGCAAGTAGGATGTTTCGAGGGACGAGTGGGGATTTAGATAGCGGCATCATGAGTTTTAGACTTTGGGTTCATCGAGAGCATACACCAAGCACGAGGAGTTGAGCGGTCGCATGTCGTGTTCTTATATTTATCGTGCTTTACATATCCTGCGGAACAAGAACGCCATAGAATTCGACATAGTGTATAGAGCTGTCCAGTTCAAGACTTAGATAAACAAAAACGAGTGTATTCGAACGTTATCCTTGACCCATGAGTTCACTTCCTGACGCCTTAAAGAGAGAAACAAAAAAGATCCTTTTCACAGAACCGGCATGCCAACCGGTGAATACGCAAGGTTAGCCCAGCTTGGAAACACAACTAGCAAAGACGATTTCACTTCTATGCACGCATTGGGGCAGGGGCCACATCGCTCTCGCTGATAACACTACCAACCTCTGACCAGCTGGCGGGAGTCATCATGCCGTCGCTCTCGCTAATCACATCGTAGGGACGGGCGGCAGAGCCGTTTCTAGTGGAGACGCCATCGTTTCCAAAGTCCTCATGCGAGCCGATAATTGAGACGGAATCGGTTGGCGTGAGCTGGCCTTCGGTGAGGAACTCGTCGGGCTCGGAGCCAGCCTCAGAGACTGGCATCCTGGGCGTTGAAGGCAGTGGTGAGTAAAAGCCCTGCTCAGAGCTCTGAGCCCATGCCTGGATAGAAGCATAGGCATCGTCGTGCTGGCTCTCCTGGCCTGGGGTCATGTACTCCTCTGGTGCTGGGCTGCCATCCACGGTCACGGAAGACTGTGTCTGGACTGGGGACTGTGCACGAAGATCAATCAGGGACTCGGGCTCCTCCCGCATGTCTAGCTTGGGTGACTGGGGGTGCTCTTGGGTTGTAGCGCTGTAGATGTCTGACATGACCTCGTCTCTTGATGGCACAACCTGGCTGGCCTGTGCGGTTTCGATATCATCTCCGACGATAAAGTGTTCGTCGGCGAAGGGGTTTGCAAAGACAGACGCAGGCATCCCCCGGATAGTGTACGCCGATGCGGATGCCTCGCCCCGATGTCGCAGGCCATCGGTAGCAGGTGCATCGGTTCCGGAACTGAAGACGAACGTACCCTTCTCGGCACCCTCATCCTGTCGTAGGAAATCATCAAACGATGACCCTCGGCTTCCATTTGTCAAGCGCCTCACAGGAGTCGGCTCCTCTATCGCAGCCTGCTTCTCATCCATCTCCTTCTCCTTCTCCAGCAGCTGCGAGTTCCAGTAGAGGAGCTCCTCACGCTGCCTCCTCCGTGTTTCTTCGTCGGCATCGACGCCGGGCTCTGCGCCCTCGCCGCGGCTCGATTGCATGAAGCCGTGGGCATCCTCGGGTCGGTTGAAGAGCGGTTCTCTATGGGGAGGGTCGATGCCCTCTCCTATCGCGTGCAAAGCAACGGCTATTCGACGGCGGACATCGTCGGCGTAGCGCCTGAACTCGGGGGACTCGTAGAGAGCGATGGCCGTGGCTACCGCTACCGATACGGCGACAGCAGCGCCTGAGGCAAGAATGACATGGTTAGCGGCCGGCATTTTTTTCTCTCGCTTCTGCTTGATATTCTTGGGAAAAGCCAAAGGCCCAAGGCGTGGTGCGGAAATGGTAGAAAGGACCAGCAAAAGAGAGTTGCCTCGAGGGTAGGTGGGTGTGGAGGCTGCTCCAGACCGGTACACAAATGATAGGCCCCAACTGCAGGCTACAGGTGATGCATCGGGCCCTTCAAATCATAAGAAAACAACACAAGGCTTCTCCAGATGACGGGGGCAAAACAGCGGACAAAAAAAGGTGTTGGGGATGGGCCGCGTGTGATGATTTATTGGAGGGAACAGGTGATTGCGCGGTCCCCTGGCCTGGGCCTGGAGCCTAGAGGCTCAGGTGGCGAACAGCTGAACCTGCTGGAAGAGCGTCGTGGGTTGTGCCGCCTGTGACGAAACGCGGGGTACACGCAGGCTGCGAACTGATCGCCATCGCCATGATCGGACGCATGAATGAACGCTGGACGTACCTTTTGCCGCCAGTGGAATCGGCATTGTGAAGCAGGGCTCGGCGAGCCGTCCCCTTCTTCGTGTGAGTGTAGTCGGCAAGACTTAGGTGGGCGGGACGAGGTTGAAGGACGGGGGAGTTGACTGTAGCAGCGGTCGGACGGGGCGGGAGGGGCTATGTCCTGATTCTTGTATCCGCTGGCGCTGTATGTCCGCGGCGTATTCCCTCGACTTTAGCTTTCCAATCCCCCAGCTGCGCAAGGCTAAATCATCACCCAGGAGCTATAATGTCATTTTACTTCGCCAGTCAGACAGTAAGCCGCGAGGAGGAGAACTCAAGCACGCCCGACTCATGCTGGCTGACTACCCAGCCTGAGCTCGAGGGAGCGAGGCTTGCTTTGTGGCTGATGACGACACCCAACGCTCATCAGTGGCGTACGCACGCAAGCAAAGACCGCCCATCCTTGGATCCATCCCGTCACACGACTCGCAAGCGCCTCGCCTCTACCATCTCTTCCTCTCTTGGCGGTGGCTGCACCCAGAAATGGAAAGTAGCACGAAAGTGAGGCACCGTGCCGTTTCTGGCCGTCGAGGGTCGCGCCAGCACCAGCACCAACACAGTACGTAGCATCCGTCTCACCTTATTTCCGCCATCTGCCTGTCTTGAACTGATATTCTGAAGATGGTCCAAAAGAAGAGATCCCCTAACCAGTTGGGATAGTCAGTACACGCACTAGGCCTAGGTTACGGGAGCCACGGGAGCTGTACCCCAGCGGGGGTTTAGTCTCGAGTCTGCAGCAGTGGTGAAACACCCAACCGAGCAACAAGTCCGCTCTGACTTCTCACGATCAATCGCTAGTCCCGATCTACTCCTCATGGCCATTTCATTGTCTCCTCTTGTTCAATACCAAAGGAAGCCATCTCTAGAGTCATCCTGGACAATACCTGCACACTGCCTGCAGGGTGGCAATCAGTGGGGGCGGGTCCGGACTCGGGATGGATCTTGTGGGGCCGGTCGACATCCACTTAGAGATCTGGATGCCATTTGGGTTGAAAGATCACCAACCTGTTCTTATTAGGATGAGTGACTACTTGTTGTGTCTATTTCGATCACAGCTACTCAACGAGGTGAGAAGTTCTAGAACTGAGGCAGTCTTCATCTATCTCCTCACTACGAATGGTTGCAGATCCATTATTACATAGATATTGGACAATGGCTTGTTTTGAACAACAGCAGTGGGCTCATTGTCAGCCGGGGAAATCTCTTTCCTAGAGATTTCTGCCACGCTAAATTTTCCTATTCAACTACATCCTTGGGATATACTGGATATATGGCAATCTATCAACGGCCTTTGTCCGTCTCCCCCCTAGAGCATTGTGGCCAAAGAAAACATTTCAACGAGCTCTTGGTAGCCCCTGGACGATCGTCATTCCACCATCACTTGCGGCTTACAGCACAGCAGTGATGTTAATCCTCTGCAGCCCCTCCTCGGCCGTTCCCGGTGTCCTCCAGGTAATCTGGAAAGTACCAGGCTCCTCCGTATTGGCGAGGTAGAAGAAGGTGTGCGTGTCCGACTCTCCATTGGGGTTGGCAGGGACCATGAAGGTGCCGTATCGGATCCACTTGGAGATGTAGCCGTCGCCGAGCGACGACTCGTCGTTGGTGAGAAGGACAGGGTCCGTGGCGCCCGTGGCGTTGTTGATGGCGATGAAGGTGCCCTCGGGCAGGTCCTCTGAGGTAGCTGGCGGCACGGGGCCGACGAGCACCTGCGGCTGTGTGCCAGTCCAGTCGGGGACTACGGGAGAGAATGTTAGAGAGTACGTCTAGGTTTGAGATGAAAGCACGTGGCTCTGGCATATCTGCCTTCCGTGGTCTCAAAATGGCGGGGGAGGAGGGGAGGCTTATTGGTCTTTTTTAAGACTTACTGGTGAAGTTCAGAGCATTGCTCACGCTCGCAGGCACCTTGGGGCCAACGTACAGGTTGCCGTCACCGTACCAGGTACGGTAGGTGATTGTCTGACCAGGCGTGCCGGTGTAGATCTGGCCAACCACGCGGAAGTTCTGGGCGCTGGCAGCTGCAGCAAAGACAGCTCCAGCGGCTATGGCTTTCTTGAAGATCGACGGCATGATGAATACTGATTTGCGAGGGAGACGTGCTAGGTATGCTGTGAATGTGGCGGTGGAATGGTGAAGGGGGGATGGTCAACCGGAGCCTCCCTCGGGCTGCCCTTTTATACATGGAGCTCCGAAAATGTCATGACTCCCGACCGTCGCGTGCCTGCATAAGACATGACACACAGAGATTGGAAACGACTGCCTGCCGCGCATGTACCCGTCAAGGGGTACCTGCTTGCCGGAAGCACAGTCTCGTCTAAGTGAGGCACCTGAGCGGCAGCGCCAAATCGCAGGCGCAGGAGTGCCTGTCGCTGCAAGGATCGCGGCTTTAAGCTGGTATGGAATCATCCTAGAGAGTAACGTAGCAAAGGGCAATCATGTGGAGGAAATCGCGAATCGGGCAGGTGGCCGCCTCCGCACGTCGCATCGGCAGTACCCTGGCCAATCGTCAGCAGCCATTTATAGTGAGTAAAGGCCCGAGATGCATGGCGGGAGGGTCGCAATCGGGGATCCCCCAGAGAGCTTCGATGTCGGTCCATGACAAGTCTGTCTGCATGGCAGATGAGCTTGCTGGGCTATTGGCGAGGGACATTGTGTAGAATCGGACCATCTGCAGATCATGGCTGGACTTGGGAGCTGTAAAAAGAAATCCAGCCAGGCTAAAGGTCACGTCCGACTTTTGCTGTTTCCTGATGGGGTCATGAAACGCCGACGCATGAGGCAGGAGGCACCTCAGACTCCGAGCGCGTATAGATGAGCGTGGCCACCAACTTTCTTGAGGGGGGGGGAAGATGGGACGAATAGAAGCTTGAAAAGAAGGTTTGCGCCCGAGGTTATTGAGCGGGCTTCGTGCGTATTCGCGGGTTTTAGATGCAAATTTGTGGCCAGGCAGTCTTTGCAAATGTGTTGGTGAATGGTGCAAGCTGCAAGCTGTCAGATGGCCAAAGGCAGTAAGATGTAGACTGCCTAGGCAGAAAGAGGTGTATATACGTAGCCACAGTTTGTAGACTCACCATATGTCTTGCGTGTAGGAAAAAGAGGATAAAGTTTAACAACAATGAAGCTGCCAGGGCCCGGACAACTCAACGCAATGAATACGAAAAGCTTAAAAATATAGCCTTTCCTAGTACACCCAAGGAGTCACATAGCTAGAAAAGTCTTACCATCGTACGGATAACTCACTTGCCGTCAGGATAGCGGCTCGTTGAATAACTATTAATACTGCCTCTTTCACCTGGCTTCACACTCATCTTCTATCACACCGATCCAACCATATCAACCAATCCAAGCACAAGCTCAAAGCGACCAACCCAGTAAGTACCAAGCCCGTTGGCCAGAGCACCTGTACTGATATATCCGTAGTTTTCGCTCTTTATCCCGGCGATCAGGAAATCATACCAAAGAAAGAGATCTCAGTCCCTTCTCTCGGAGAGGGCCAGATTACTTGGTCAGACACCAAAATGCCGAGAATCAATACCAGTAATCCCAAGTCACCATATGTCTTGCAATTGGATCAATTACGACTGAGAAGTTACAACACCACGTCTGCTGCCTACCCCTCTATGGCTTGCAGATCATCCGAATCCAGGACGGGGATGCGAAGAGCCTCACGGGCCGTGGCGGGTGTGACCAAATCTCCAAACACGAGCCGCTCTTGTAACACTCAGCTTCCATGGAATCCCCCTTATTGGCGGGAACGCGCAATCCGCATAAATGGCACCTACCAATACCGGCTATCCTTTGTTGATCCAATCGATCCCGATAGTGTTCTGGGGCCTTATGGGTGGCCACCGGAGCGTGCATGGTTTCCGCCCAGCAAACCTTGATATGTTGGGGCCATGGCATTGTCTATTTTTCCGGGCTCGCTTCCAAGGCTCCTCGGCCTCGAGTGACACGGCTCGGTACGTACCCAAGCAGGGTAACCTTTTGGCATGCAGGAAGCAATTTGTGCCTTTTCAGTCTCAACGTCGAACAAGATGGTGGTCAGATGAAAGTCGAGGTCATGGAAAAGTGTCAATTTATCATCAATTGATGGATTCAGTAGAGCAACACCGTGGCTCCTTGCCCAGTAAAGTTCCCCCTATGGTATAACTTTTTTCCCCCGTAAAACACAAATAAAATTCGCTAATATTTTGAAAAACCCATTCAGACCAGGCTAGAAATGCCGAAAGAGCAAGTGTCCTTCTTGGAACATCTGCCAGACCAGATCCCCCACACCTATTCGTCAATCGAAGAATTACTAGGTGCTCGGGGAATGGCCCCCGAGATCCGGGGATCTGGTGTGAGGCCAGACGATCACCACACTGGGTGGTAGGACACGTTTAAGTTGTCATGTGAAATTCTTTAGAGGGACCTCTCGGAAGCGTTGCTGTCAACGGAGTCCATGGTGTTGGTACGGGCAGCCTTCTTGCGCTCACTGAGACGAAATAGTTAGCACAAGAAAAAATATTTCAATTCCTGGGACTGAGAAAGGGACACATACTAGTGGTGGCGGTCCTGAATGACGCACTTGTAGGAAGCACCTCCGGTCTTAATGCGGAACTCGATTCCCTTGTTCTCGCCGAAGCCGTTGGAGGGAGCACCAGTGCTGGGGGCAGCAGCGGAGGAAGCAGAAGAAGTGCTGGCGGCAGATGATCCGGTCATTTTGGCGGATGAACAGTGTGTGAGAGAGATTGGTTGGTGGTTTGTGTAGTTTGTTGAGTAGTTTTGCAGTGTGCAAAGAGCAGGACTGTAGAGTATGGTGATGGGATGGACGAGGGAGAGAAGGCCAGGAGGAAGGGGAGAGAGGACGAGGTTAATATAGGGAGGTCAGAGCTGGTTGATGCGAGGCAGGAGGGCAAATCGACTACTACGAGGTATTACATTACGCCCGGCCAAAGATAGCATGCGGGTGGCACCTGGGACGGATACATCGGTAGGTACCTTGTTTCTGCCACACCTCACGTTAGTTTCCTCTTACATGAAATAATCGCTCGCGCTTCTCTGAACTCCGTCGTGTCTCAGGGCCGGGAAGGAGAGAGACAGTAGCTTATCCAGAGCGCAGCCAATATGGAGAAGGCGGCCGTCTCCCCACATGGGCACCAGCCAACCACCTGCACCACTCCAGCCGTGAGCCATTTTCCTGCTCGCCCCTCCAAAAACGCCCTCCCCCAACTAATCCAAGACAATAATAGGTACCTCCAGTGCGGTAAGTGGCACGAAGTGGCCCTCCTCCTATTTCTGGGGCTCTTGTTTTCGGCCTGTTGGATCAACAAAATTACAAAGGGGTGTGGATGTCCTCTGCCTTCGCCCAGACCGAGACAGCCAGCGTGCCACGCCACGATTCCGGGCTTGCTCCGTCTCAACTGATGTAATAGCGAATAAAATCCGGATCAATGGGCTCGCCTAGACAATGTAGATGCAATCCTGTCTGCCTTGTACCTTGGCCTTGGAGAATTGGAGACTCAAGCCGGGTCGGCACCGGACTTGTGGGGGTGGGAGGCAAGCCTTGTGGCATCTCGCTCACGAGTCACCCTCCAAGGACGGCAAGAGAGTGCCGTTGCATTGATGGACCCTGACGGCGCCGTCCGTTGGGGAGCGAGAAATCCGAAGAGGCGAAATGGCGCCCTGGTTGTACCTCGCACTGGGCATCAGGTTTATCAGACAGTTGCACACCCCCTACGGGAATGCCGCCGGCAACACTCATGAGTGGCTACGCGAGATAGGGTTTGAGACAGACACGCCATCGCTTGATGACTTTTCCAATGACCTGACCGAGAGGAAAGAGAAAGCTGGACGGGTGGCGGTGACCAGGGCGAGGGCGAAGCCAAATGATTGGATGGCCGTCTGCCCTGGCTGCCCCAAAGGGCTCTGATTGACCGAGGACGAGGGAGAGTTCAGGGCCCCTGTCCCCATGCTCGTCTATTCTAGAAAGGCGATAGAACGATCGAGTGCTGCCACTTTGGTGGAGGTGCATGCGGCTGATTTGCTGGCCATATGCACCAGGCGAACAGACCACCTCATTTTCCCTGCACCAACTACGGAAGCGAGCGACAGTCAGGCAACCACCAGCGCGAGGCGAGTGCGTCTCGCTGACGGGAATTCAGCTTGCCATTGATTGATTATTGACCGCCGTTGGCCCGTCGTTGGACGTTGCAGGCCGGGGGTGGTGGCACGGCAGCATCATACTCGTGTCATGTCTCACTTTCGGTGCAGACCAGACACCGGGCCGGAGGACGCAGCTGAGCAAAACAGGACACAATCACGGTCATGCACTCGTCAAAATGCAATGCCTATCACTGTGCGTGCCTCTGGGCTGGCAATTGATTCCTTGTGGCGATTCTCGCGGTAACCGGTGATAAATTGGCCGATCAATAGCAACCACCAACTAACTACGTCGAAGCCGCTGCCGACGTCTCCGCGGACGACGCGCTTGCACAGGAGCCTAGCAGGCCCTATATCTCAAGAAATTAGGTAATAAAATCCGATTGTGTGTGGGAGAGCGAGATGTCGGCATGTCTTGTGGGGAGGGATGTTCATATCCTAGACATTCGCACGTCCTCTGAATGGACCCTCGTGCAGCAAACGTGCGCCCTGGGGGCCAGACATCATCGGATTTCGGTGATCGCAGTGGGCCGCTCATTCTTCATCCAGTCAACTACAAGATCGTATTCTTATTCTCCTGGACCCCTAACCAATATTCTGGGCCAGCTCCTGTCACACACGTCATGTGAATTGCACATCAGCTTCGCAATAGATATGCAGAGCAGGTTGACGATGATCTCCTGAGGTCTTGGGCGTGCCGGTTGCGCAATTGCCCCAGTTATTCAGAAACAAACAGTGTGTTCTGGTGTCAAAATGGTGGTGGTGCTGTGGATGTCTTTTGTCGCGCAAGTTTGGTGTCGATACTTCAATGACAAGCCAGGCTGACGTATGATAACAAGTATCAGTTACCCCGGGAATCCCCAGCCAACCACAGTGATGCAAATCGGGCCACACTGGCTTCAAGGAGATAAAGTACATGAAATATTCCCGCTCGCGTGCCCGAGAAAGTATCAAGATCGGTAAATTAGGCAGTCCCGACGGAAACCTTGGGATACCTAAATTCCTAGCCCGTGGAACAGGGCGAGACACTTCCCGTCAGCACCGTCATCGCTGTCACTACTCAATCTCGTGTATGTACGCGGAACTTTGAAGAAGATCCAAGGGACCGGCGCCGTTTCACCACGCTCGCCTCGTCATGACGTCAAACTCATCATCAAAATGCCGCTCTCCGGGGTCCCTTCATCCTCGTGACGATGGTTCCTCCGCCTTACCCTTTGTGGTTGGCGGACGGCACCATTGTTCCCTCTCCCCACCCCCAAACAAGCCAATGTTGTGCAGCACGTTGATAATAATAATAAACACGCAAAGATAGCGCATTGCTCATATTACCTCCCCACCCTATAGTAATAGTCCGTCTCCACGATCACCAGAAGAGCCATCTCGCTCTCGCTTGCTTAGAGCAGAAGACATCTTTCCTGCTCACCGCTGCTTTGCCGCTTCCACCGTTTCCCTCCTTCCCATTTCTCCTATTCTCAGTCCCTCGCTCTCTTGTTCTCATCTCCACCCATACCAGAGTGACTTTTGGTGCAAATCCAGTATCAGAAACACAAATGGGGCACATGAGAGACAGTTACGCAACTCAAGACAGGCAACAGTATATGCATAACTGAGCTCAGTCATGTTTCAAACCCACCCCTGTTCGTAGATTGTCGTAGAGTCCGCCCCGTTGGTATGTGGCCTGGAGCGTTCTGCGGGGAGCTCCATGTGCCAAGGCTGGCTTGTCATCTTCTATGGACAGTCGAGCATAGGCTATTTTGATGAGGCAGAGCTAATATAAGGTTGTTTTTCTTTTACCCGGAAAGCCTCCTCGTCCGGATGGAGGTGCGGGTCTAAAACAGGGTGTAAAATGTTGACACTGGATGTCCTACCTATGTTGTAGGTACGTTGGCTGCCTCCTGAGATCGAGAACTTTGGTCTATTCGAGGCCTTTAGCTCTGACTCGTGCTCTCATTGCGTCTTGGCCTGCCTTCAAGTAGTAGGTTAGACCGATGCAAGACATGATTGTCCCAAGAAAGCAAGTAAACTTCATGACTTGGCCTTGACTGGCATGGTCTCAGGCAATAGTGTGATAGCGGCCGATTTTGTGTCAAGATCCCCATGAGAAGATGCAACCTTCTCGGTAGGGAACAGGTTAAGCTTACTTTTGGTGGCGGGGTGGAAGGAGGGAGCCAATTCCCTGGAATCTTAAAATCCACCTATCCATGGACGTATCTCTGGGGTGTGCGATGAAGGCCAAGACGTGTACCTCTGTGGTTGTTCCAACCACTTCAAAATCTGCTTCGATTGGCCCGAATTTGAGTCGACTCAGAGGCCGAGACACACACACGCACACGGCCGGTAGGACTGGCGGCGTCCTCTCTATCGGCTATCCAGCATTCGCATCGCCTCTTCCTCCTTGTCCAACTGCTTGGTTTCCCCGTTCTCTGCCTGGAGGCCCCTCTTCTGCATTTCTCTCTCCACCAGAGTCCTTGTCGTCATCCCCTCACCCACCCACGGCATTTCTTCCCTTCTTGATGTCAGAATGCCCTCGACGCTCCTCATTCCAACAACCAAGAATCCGAGGTCCTCTCGGTCAACGTCGAAAACCTCCCACCACTCTGTTTCAGGCATCTTGGCCCCCAGGTCCCGCGCAGCATTGTATATCGCCGCAGTGGCCAGCGCATGCGGCTGGTGCGTCAAGTAGAGCATCTGCGGTGACAACAGAGCTGTGTTGAGATACTGAGTAACTCGATGGGATATGGTAGACTTGGGCTGTGATAGAAAGTCGAGGGTCTGCAGATAGGTGATGGCGAGGGCGTGGGGGAGGGATACGTGGGTGTTGAAAGAGAGGCAGTAGAGGATACGCGCCTCGAGAGCGAGCAGTCGGCTCTGGAACGCGAAGTAGTCGGATTCGGTCTGGTAGTATGCCTTTGGATCCTCCTCTGGCTTTCCCTCCCGAGGGACGCGGAAGAGCGACGACTTGGGTGAGAGAAGGTAGGCGTAGACGTTTGATACATCGCGAGTCGAGCGTGGCATCGGGCCAACTTTGGCGACAAGGTAAAGGGCAGCGGCGGACACGTCCTGGCTCGGGGACTCTGAGTTAGCGACCTGGATTCATCCCGTTGTTCCACATCATGGCCACAGACAATTGAAGTTGCCTGTCTGCAAACTTACACTGAACTCATGGGCCATTGGCGAATCAATCAGCCAGTAGCGGGCGAGAATGACATTTGCCTGCGCGGTGACGGATTGGGGGAGCTCCAGCAGCAGTCCCGCGGCCTGGGTCAGGCATTGCGTTGTGATGAAGACGACTTCGCGTAGATCGGCAGGTAAAGATGAGAATGACGTGTGATTGTATAATTGCGAAGGAGTCGCCAGTGGATTTGTGAGGTGCGCCATGGCTGTAAGAATGCCCAGGCTGTCAGCTGGTGGATGCTGTGCAAGTATGAAGAGGAAACAAATCTTTCGGGAGCTATGATGATGTCTGAGCTTTAGTTGTGGTAAGCCCGAATCTTGGGCCATTGCGGCCGCTGTGGGGCCGGGAAGGTAGGGGACATGAAAGGCAACACACCAAGATCACCAGCGTCGGAATCCAACACGACCACGACACATTTGACTAAATGATGGTTAATCTTAGCATCGTTTTCTTCTTATGTAAAAGTTAGTTCATTATCTCCACTTGTATGTTTTACTAATAAAAAATGGAGAGCATAATATATTGATATATCAGAGGCTAAACGCATCGTTTCTGTGCTATTTTCTCTGTCACCCACTGACAATGGAGCAGCCTTTCGATAAGTAGAACCAACACGTAGGGGCTTCATCTATCCTCATATCATGCTGATATTTCATGATACCAAGAATCATTGGTGCTTTATGTCATGAGAGCATGGCAGCTCTTAAAAAACACCTCGCTCTGATTGCACAGCTGGATATGTGATGGCGATGCAGCGTTCTAGGCACCTGTTTAACTTGCTTTCTCTTTATTGGGCACGCAGCTGATAGTTCATTTAGGCACTGCATCATTGCGGTCACATCAGGGCACGGCCACTCCCAATCAGCCTCACTGGTGGGATGACGTGCAAGATGGACGCCTTACCGAGGGGTTGGGTTTTTAAGGGCAAGCAGCCCATCGAACCATACTTCTGCCATTTTTGAAGTACTATGGATTTTTATCCTTCAGTCTGATCCCGCTTCTTCCTGAATTCTATTCTAAAGCTGCATATAACACATCATGTCGCAACAAGTTCAGGCTCAGGCTGACGTTGGTTCTTTGAGCCTGACTGGCTTGGGGGCTTTTACCAATCTGCTAGCTATTCTCTCCGCCGACAACGTCAGCCCCATAGCAATGATCCAGATGAAGGATCTCGGCTCTCTATTTCATGTCAACGGCCATTATGCCACCAGGGTTCCCGAGCTCCTCACACGAGCTTCCTCCCACCCGATCGGCCGGTTGACACTGGCAGTAGGTTGGCGTCGTGGTGACTCAGTCTCGCTTCTTGCGGAGTCTGCCGGGGGCCAGGCCATATCGCTGCTGTCACTTTGTATCACGAACATATACAAAGAAGAAGCTGTTGGGCAGATTCTGTCGCAGCTCAGCTCCAGACTATTATCAAAGTCATCTCCACGTGCTGGCGTGGTCCCCTTGGCTGATGTTGCGACCTTGGTGGCATCAAAATTGAACAGATTTGGGTTTGGCAATGTCCTTGCAGAACAGACCATGAGAGTACAATCGGTTTTCGAGAAACTGGAAACCACTATCCCGGACGGTCTTCTGGAGCTGCCTACTGTTGAATCTATCACGGATGTTTTCGAAAGCCTAAGTCATCTTCGGGGAGATGATACAGTTATTAGAATATCCGGGTCACCCGGAATTCTGTATATGCTATCAATAATCATTTTCATGTTCCCGCATGATGCAATAGTCACAGTTGAGTCATATGTTATCCACGAAGGAGAAGGCGGGGGCAGAATCATCATCGAAATTTGTGATTCTGGCCCAGTACAAGTTCAAGTGGAGAAGAAACTCAGTCAGTCAGCGCCACTCACACTGCCCATGAAGGTCTGCGAGGATGGAGAGAAGATCAAAGGAGCTTGTTCATTTGTATGGGAAGGATGGATAGCTCGAAAGCTCCAGATTGAGTTTGCAAGAGCTGGCTCAACATGTACCCAAGAGGTATTAGTTGCTTGTTGCTCTGTGGTAACTCACCTCGCTAAGGAGCTTAATGTTTTCAAGCACATCACAACCAGCCAAGAGTTTAGATTTGAGGCCTTGCTCGGGCTGTATCCCGCAAACAGAATTGATCGAATTTGTCGAGAAGTCTTCTTGGCACCGGCGGAAGAAACCTTGTCGAATGCAAAGATAGCTTGGGCATACCTGAAGAGCATCATATTCCCGATCTTAGAAGGTGTCAAGTGCCAACCTGAAGAGCACTGTCAACGGTGTTCCGGTGATTCACGTGTTTGGGATCAATTTCGTTACCTTAGGATATGGTGCGGTTGTCCGTCGGTCGATCTCTGGGGAGCGATTGGGAATTGTTTGACTGCTGGGCTTTATTGTCTTCTCATAAACGTTCATGGGTTAGTCTCCGTGCCTGGAATACTTCCCTCAACTGATGTAATAAGCGACATCCTTCAGAGCACGGTAGAATCGATTGGGTTTAACGGTTCCCGGTCGAGTCCCGACATTTTGGATGGTGTCATGCGACTAATACATCCATTTGGATCACTTGGTCGCAGTTCAGGGGCATGCACCATCTTCCCGACCAACCTCGAAACCTTGGAAATTGACCCAGATCAAACATTCACCTTTGAACTCCATGACGGAGTTTTCGTTTTCGAAACTCGACACCATCGATGTCTTGCCAGCGACCCAGCTCCGCGGTCTCCAGCCAGGGCGCCTTTAGCGAGTGACCTCTCACATATTATTCCTTCGAGCCATGGGGAGCATTCTTCTCTTGGATTCACGTTGCATGAGGGCTATGAAAAACTTATTTTATCTACCACTATCCACTGTTCAGGTCGTTCCTCACGAATAGATCTTGCATCGGTGATTTCTGGCTCTTTGTGGCTTAAACGAACTCACCCTTGCGGGCATCGACTTGACAGCCCGCTGGATGTTTCCAAACCACCCACTTTGATTGGCAGTTTGGCAGTGACAGGTGTGATGAATCCAAAGACAGAGAACAAGGTATCACTAGCTATGGTGCACTCGAACTCCGGAGCCCAGTTTCTCTGTTGCGACGTGGAGTCTGGTTGTTTACTTGTAAAGGGAACCTGCCTGAACTGTGCTATTGAGCAAGCCAATCGGGAATTTGATATCTTGATTATTTCTTGATTTCTGGGTGCGATCAAACACACTATGGAGAGCAAGGTAGGTAGCCATAGCTATCGATCTCGCTGAGTGAAAAGAGATAAGCAAACACTAGGTAGGTAGTTCGTGATCAATACCACAATCGAGAGACCCAACTATTGTATCAAGGTTTAATGTGAGATCCGCAATGAATTGTATTATGACACTTGCCCTAGTGAAAAAACTTTCAGTATTAGAAGAATAAGAAAATAAGCCTAGAAAAAAAGAAAAAGGGTTTCTGAAGTTTAATGTGCAATATTTAAATCGGGATGTTGTGAGAGCTATCCTCCTTGAGGCGGTTGGAGGTCGAGATATGATACTTGGTACTTGGTGGTTAGCGCATCCACCCACTTCTAACCATTCCCATTCCCCATCCGAGCACCGCATCGCATGCATCCATACATCATTCTCTTCCATTGTCGAGCATGGGTATGAACTTGATGGTGAAAAGGTTCTGGCTCTAAGCAACCTCGACCTAGCCAGCTCATCATCAGCTCCAATTCCCCCCCCTAAATCCCCGACATGGCAGCTTCAGTCCCACCGTCGCCAATCGACGACCGGCCCAACTTCGACCTCAATCTCCAACACGGCCACAAGGACCTGGTCCTGGCTGTCGCCTTCAACACCTACGGCGACCGGTGCGCAACGGGCTCCGTCGATGGCAAGATCCGTGTATTCAATCGCCACAAGGATGGCATCTGGCGCCTGTGCGATAACTGGAGCGCGCATGGCGGTGAGGTCCTCGAGGTAGGTTTCATCACCCAAGGCATCCTCGCCGACCACAGACAGCTCTGCTAACACTCGTCCGCCCCCTCGCCCAACAGCTCCAATGGCTCTCCGCCACAATCTACCCCAACATAATCGCCTCCCTCGGCATCGAAGGCTGGTTCTGCCTCTGGGCCGAGGACCCCTCCGCCGCGCCCGGCCGCCGCTTCTGCTCGGGCTCGTCCCGCTCCGCCAGCTCAGGCACCGGCCGCCCGGCCTTCAGCTCGCGCTCCCCCAGGTCGCCCTACCGCTCCTTCAGCATCAAGCACAACGAGGAGAACCGCCACACCTACCTCGCCCTCCTCGCCACCGACGGCCGCCTCACCGTGTTCGAGAACGAGCAGCCCGAGCACCTGTCCGAGTACGTCTCCATCGACGAGTTCTCCGTCTGCCCGAAACCGAGCCGCGGCGAGGAGGTGTCCTTCAAGGTGCGCTTCGACCCCAACCCGGAGCCGTGCTACGCGGCGCTGCGCGCGGGCGTCATGACGGACTCGCTGGGTCTTGTTGTTGCCGGGATGGACACGGTCAAGGTGTACCGCTCGCGCGAGATCGTCACCACCGCCCTGGGCGTCCAGAGCAGCCAGAAGGAATTCTACCCCGCGGTTGAGATCACCGGCCACCGCGGGCTGGTGCGAGACGTCGCGTGGGCGCCCGGGAATATCAGAGGCTACGATATGATTGCCACGGCCTGCCAGGATGGCTATGTCCGCGTATACCGGCTGGACACGCCCGACGCTGGCTCTGACGGTTCCTGGTCCGTTGCGAACCTTCACAAGCCTGTCGCAGACAACGGTGATAGCAACGAATCTGCGGTCGCCAAGAGCGGTCCCCTGGAAAAGCACTCCCATCACTCCTCGAGCCTCAGCGCAAGCCTGGCCAAATCCGGGGCCAATGGAGATAGAGTGTGGGCCGGGCAGCCTGGCCAGGTGAAGCACACATACAAGGAGATCTCCAGGTTGGACAACGACCGCATTCCCATCTGGCGTGTCGGCTTCGACGACGACGGCCAGATTCTGGGCACAACCGGCGATGATGGGCGTTTACTCTGCTACCGTCAGACTCCCGATGGCTCGTGGGCTAAGAGCTCGGAGCTAGCCATGATGAAGACGCGGATGGTTGCGCCCTGAGAACCCCCCTTACTAGTCCTGGCAGAGTCCCAGGCTATGGGTAGGTCTACCTACCGATTATCAAATACGTTGGCTATAACCACTCTATTCCGACTTAATAATCTGGAAATGATTCTCACAAAGTCCCACGGGACTGTGAAAGCTATGAACCCCGAGATCTCTTTGACGGAGTATGTTAAGCATACCAAGCATCAAGCTGGAACCGCAGAACTGGCCACTCGGCGGCTATTACTTTCTACATCTAGGTTTCCCGTCTACTTGCTACGAATATATTCGGTTACGTAACCCATGGGTTGTGGTTATGACGAAATGCTGGTATGGCATTGTCACTTTTATGAGAGCTTAAAACATACCGGGAACAAAAAACAAAGCGGGCGGTATGACTTCATGGAGCTATAGAGGTTGCTAGACCACAAAAACTCCGAACAGGGAGTAGGAAAGCCAACAAGTTGACTCCCATTTGCAAGCCTGGCCAAGCTTCAGATATCGGTACAATCAATGATAGATGAGCAACAAGTAATGAGGACTATGGTGATCCGGGGAACAGCCGAATCATAGACCACCTTCTGTCATTAGACAGTGATGAGTTTATAACATCCACATGGTTCTTCCTCTTTGCAGTCACAGGATTCAGGTTAAGAAATGTTCTAGTCATCATAACGTTGCATTATCGTTCCTAATTCTAAAAAATACTTCATCACCAGTTGAAAGAATGCGGTAATGGAATGCTAAAAATCTTTATGTCCCCTTCACCCCAGTTGCTTTATTTCTTTCGAGGCCTTCTGGAAGACCGCCAACTTTTGGAGTGGAAATTATAAACGCCAGTCTCTCCTTCTCATCGGTTTCTCCTTCATTGTATTGCTTAAGCAGCATCGGCGCTGCCAATAGGCTGGGTCACCTTGGTAACCTGGTTGCCAGCTCGGATGATGCGCTGGCCAGCAGAGTCATTGACATAGGTAATGTCCTTGTTCTCGAACTGAGCGCGCTTCCAGATCTCAACCTCACATCCACCACGGAGAACACCGTAGCGCATGGTAGACAGAAGGTTGTGAGCGGCGTTGGAGTGGTAGTAGACACCACCATTGAAGATGGCGGTGGCGTCCTTGCCAATAGCGGACTTGATCAGGGCTCTGCCACCAGGGTGATCCTTGATGAAGTCAGTGACATCGTGGATGACACCAGCGATGGCAACAAGAGCCTTTCCGTTCTTGGCCTCCTCAACAAAGTCGTCCCAGCCAATGACGGGGAGCTGCTCGAGAGGGGTCCCCCAGTTGAGGGTGGCTCGCTTCTGGTCGAGCTTCTTCTGGAGCTGCTGAACACGTCCCTTCTCAATCTCGTTGGCGCGGAACTGCTTGAGGTCGTAGGCGAGGCCGAGCCACTTCCAGAGGGTGATGGACCACTTGGTGGGATCCCACTGCCACCACTCAATGGCATTGCGGTAATCAGAGGGGAACTCGTGGTGGAAGTTGTGGTATCCCTCACCGAGGGTGACGAGGGCGGTGATGACGTGGTCACGGGGTGAGTTGCGGTCGTCGAAAGGCTGGTCACCGAGCCAGTGAGCAAGGGAGTTGACGCAGAAGGTGGCTTGTTGGACGAAGGCGACACGGAGAATAGCGGCGTAGACGAATCCACCTAGCCAATCGTTCCACAGAAGACCGCAGACGGCGGTGGGGAAGATGAGGGCCATGAAC